GAGGGAGGGAGAGAGGGAGAGGGAGGGAGAGAGAGAGAGGAGAACCATGAATCTGAAATTCTTGAGAAAAGCAGATTTAAAGAGGTTAAAACTTTATGCATTGATGACCCCACTGATTCAGAGGCTGTTGGATTTAATTATAACACCAGTAAATATATGTGTGAAGTTGTCTTATTTGATTGGGAAGAGAAATATAATAAAGAAGCTTTGATCCCTAGGAAGTTGGAAGATGGTTGGGAACCATCCATAAATATTAGCATTAATAACTTTACCTATGATGCTCGATTAGGTGCAAGTGTATCCATAATTTCTAAAAAGCCATATGATGCACTTGGATTAAAACCCCTTACTAAATGTGAACTTAATGTCCACTTGGCAGATAGCACCATAAAGAAACCAATTGGAAGCATGTAGATTTTATTGTTACAGATATGAAACCTAACCCTCTATGTCCAATTATATTGGGAAGACATTTTCTAAGAACTGCAGGGGCAATAATTGATACGAAAGAATATAAAATTTCAATTCCCAACAAGGAAAAGCCTAGAACACTTTTCAAGAAAGAGAAATAAAAGTGATTATGAAATCATGTTGGGATTGCATAGCTCCATGTGAATGAAGAGGATAAAACTTGAACATTCTTCAAAAACTAACATGCCTAGTTCAAACGGTACAAGCATCTTCAGACTTCCCGGTACATTTTAAGGAGATTTTTCACGCAAGGTACGTATGCATGTAAAGTTTAGGTATACCGTATACATATATCATCTGAAAAAAGATGTCATGTATTTGTAAATGAAATGTTTCAAGACATGCCATTGCGGAATTCAATGGATTGTTATGCATCAACATATCAATGAGAAAGGACTAGCTCAGCAGCGATGCTGAATCGCAGATCATTCAAAAGCTGAGTAGAAATGGACCAGATGGTAGCCCAGAAGATCAAGAGCATGTGCCTTTGCAAGGAGCATCTTTGCAGTGGCACACGGGTTGGCCAGAAATCTCCCATCCATTGAACCCACGTTCAAGCACCATGATGTTCTTTATCCCCGAATCTTCCTTGGACTCTGATAGATAGTCTGAAAACATCCGAGCACAGGACGGACCTCGCACCTGGGGCGTGGTGACAGAACATGTAAGATGATAAACAAAAGATATGGTACAAAATAAAGAACATGGGATACCAAGATTTTATTTAATTCTTATCCTACCTATGTAAACAACCATATACTGAAATGCTATCGCAGAATCAACATGATCGAAGATATGACTGACATACTAAGAAATGAACATCACTGGACAGTGGAAAAGAGTAAGTTCTAGAAGCATAAACTTAGATGGTACATTGGAACTAACTAAATGTAAACAAATGTCACACTAAAGCTAGTGTATGAAATCAGATGAATTAACGATGCCAACTACCTTTTATGTTAGAAGAGAACAATACAATTATAAAGCAAGAAACAGAACATGAACTTTTGCTCAAGACATGTTTTGCATCCAAGAACTCAGGTGTCTCAGGCTTGTCCATGCTCAGCTGATTGTACTTCTACTTTGCTCACTGTTACCCCCTTCGTGGTTAAGTCTGCGAGCTCACGTTAGATTTACCCCTCTCTTTCACATTTTGTACGTGTGGTTCTGAATCTCATCTTTTAGTTTCTGTACATTTGTGGTTACTACTGGCAAGGTGGGGACAAATGAAATATCCTAGGCTTGAACCACTAATATATATGGATGCACGCAGGCAACCCGCGAAGCCTGCATACAATTATGCAGAGAGTCAACTTAGTGTAATTTCTGATTTGACATTAGCATAAAGCTGACTTTTGATACATATCTGCAGGCTTTCGCTGGTTTGCACTTTATCCAACACGGAAAATATCCACAAAAAGAATATCCAGACACCCCTTCAATAAGCACAAAATGTTTTATCGGAGGTATGTTCCAGGTAGAAGAGGTGGCTGAAATTTCTTCCAGGGAATTCATTAACATGAACTTTCACAAAGCAGAAACAATTGAAGGGAATTCATTAACAGGAACATAACTAACTAGAGTTTTGAAACAAACTACGACAGACATTAACCGTATAGAAAGGCGCCTTAACGACAACCGAGAATGGCCTGATTGTTGATTCAAATCCTCAAGTGTCTAAAACTGAACCTAGGGTTCGAGCAAGCAGCATTTTAACACACAAAGCAGCACATGCGCATCCCTTAATTCCAACAAAGTCACAGGGCTTCAAAGTTAACCAACGCGCTAATTAACTAGGAGAGAAGAAGACCAGATGAAAATTTGGCCAAGGTTAACCAACGAGCTAGTAACCACGATTGCATAATCTTAATTGTCACCCGACCACATGCCCGTAGAAATCTGTAGTGAATCAAGAACGCGCGATAGGAGACCCGGTCGATTGCGCAGTGCTGTGTGTGTGTGTGTTGAGAATCTGATTTCCTTGTATTTCGACAAGGCAAGTAAACTGTCGACAAAGGGGAACTGGTTCTAGAGACGAGAGGAGGCGGGGATCTTCACCTGGCTGAGCGCGCAGTGGAAGACGAGGGTGTCCTTGCCGCTGGTGGCCTGCACGAGCTCCGGCAGCCGCGCCGCGAAGCTGCCGCTGGCGAAGTGGTGCGACCCCGCGATGTGCGCCTGATAGCTCCTCTCCTCATCCCTTCCGAAAAAGCAATCATCAGTTCCCAAATCGGCGCGGTGGCGGAGGGCGCGCGCGGCCCCGGCGAGGTCTCCTGTTACCTGACGTCGATGACGGCCACCCGGTTCCCCCGCGCCATGGACACCAGCTTCGCCGCCGACACGTACGACACGCTTCGCGCCATCCCCGAATGAATCCTCCAAATCAAATCCTCCTCCCTCCGTACGCTTTTGGATTGAGATCCAAGAAGACCTAAATATTTCTGCAGAATTTCGCTTTCTTTCTCTTCAAGAAATTCGCACTTTATTCTACTTTCTGTATGCAATGAAAAGAAAGAGAAAACAACAGCAAATGTAGGGTGTAGAATGAAAAGTTACAATACAGGAACAATACCTCTTGGACTATAAAGAAATTTGTGAATCTTAGGAACGAGGTCTAAAGGACGAAAAGATAATTTTACAGGGACATTTGAAAACCCAAAATATAACTACGTACAAAGCAGCAGGTCTCAAGGACCAAAATTTAATTTTAAAGAATTGATAGGGGCCGCGCGAACGCGTACCCCCTTTACTACAAATTAAAGGGTTTACTCTCCCACTGGGGAAGATGATAGGCCAACGCACTCACCAAGTGCAATGTGGGCCATTGACCTAGGCCACGGGGCTTCTTGATCGCCCGTCGACCCCGTCCAGGTAAGTATGTTACAACGTGGGCAGTGCCGCTCCTTATGAAACCTCCTGCCCCCTCGCAACCAGCTCCGCCAAGCGAGGTGGTACTAAACATCTCGACCCCCGCTGCCACCGCTGCCGCAGCGCGTAGGGCGCCGGTGCGTTGCTTCCTGGGCTGCTGGATGTTTCACGAGGCCTGTAACTGCGAGAGCCCACGGGCCCCGAAAACCTCCTCGCGCGCAACCTTTTCCGTCGCCGGCGCCACCGCTTCCGAAAATTTCCCTCCTCTCTCTCTCTTTCCGTGCCACTCCCCAATCCGTTCTCCAATCCCACTCCCCTATGCCGGCGTCCGGGACGCGCTCCCGGGGCCGGCCGCCGCAGCCGGTGGAGGAGGGGGCGCGCGACGAAGAAGCGCCGGTGGAGGAGGCGGGCGAGCTCGGCGCCGACGGCGATGCGGCGGTTCGTGCGTTACCGGCTCACCCGGTGAGCTCTACCAGCTCGGGTGATGAGGATGGGGAGGAGGCGGGGGATGGGGATGATGAGGACGCGGAGGGGACGCTCCTCCCCAGCTGCCCCGTGTGTATGAATCCGTGGACCGCCGATGGCGAGCATCGCGTAAGGTGAGAGGGAATTGTGCCGTGATCTGGTGGATTTACTAGGTAGACCCGTGTGCTGTGTGGTTCTAGTTCTAGATTGCTTGGTACTGCTGCCGCGGTTCCTTAGTTTCGTTGCTCTGCGGATTAGCAGAGACCACATGGTAATTGTGCTGTGTTTCCCCCTTAAAACTTGGAGCTGATGTGATTTCAGTGTAGTGGATGGACTGGAGGTTCATTCTTTAGGCGATGCCGCAGGTTTACTGTGGCACATGTTTGACTCATAAGCTACAGTGTTGTCATATTGGACTGAATGTCCATTAATGTAGGATTGTTATGTGGTGTTGTAACTTGATTATTCATGAAACATGTGAAGGGTCATGAAATTATTCATCTTTGTTTTGTTTTTGCTTGTTGTTTAGGATGTAATGTCTAGTGATCCGATCAAAAGTTGTGAACCAGCTCCTCCCTGTCACACTGTGTTTTGCTTGGTGAGTAGCAGACGAAGATAATCTTGCCGAGTTAAGATTGTCTCTGATTGTAAGTGGGTCACCTAAGTTCTAGGTTTTCAATAGTTTAAAGCTGGGCCATGGCCTTTGATCTAAAATGGGCCATCGAATTTGCTAACGATGCAGAAACTGCAATATTGCACTTACTATGTATCTTTGAGCCTTTTGATTATTTGAATTTTGTATCCAGGGGGTACCCCTCAAAAAAAATCCAGGGGGGGATGAACCTCATTTATTCTTTGAACCTGTTTCTAGTTTTTTATTTGCTGGTTTTGTGGCATAGACCTATGTTTTGAACTCATTATTTGTAGCCCCCAAAATAACTCATCTTGACAGAAATCTTGAATTGCTAACTATATGATACTCTACTTGTAGTTGCATTCCTTGTGGGCATGTCTATGGCAGATCTTGCTTAGAAAAATGGTTAGCACAGTGTGGGAAGAAAAGTGCCACGGTATGCTGTCAACAACTCCTAGTTTAGAATCACATCTTTAAGTGAATTGCACACTCTTATTGGGAGAAATACGTCTCAGTGACCATGGTTGTTGTTATTATTTAATCAGTGTCCTCAGTGCGGCAAGATGTTTAGACAAAAGAACATTATCAACCTCTATGCACCAGAGATTGTTGTTCCAAATAATGATCTTGAAAAGGTTAGTTTTTCTTTTTTACTTTTCCATGGATATATTTCTGACCATGTACTGAAGCTTGTTTGGTTTATACAGCAAGTATTGTCACTGAGAGATAAAAATGAATTTCTTGAGAATCAAGTAAGCTACTTCCTTTTCAGAATCCACTTTTTTTTGCTTCAAACTGATATTAGGACTTATGAACACTCTTTCCCATTGACATGTTCACTGAATGTAAGATATTATGAGTCACATCACTAAGAAGGATATTTGTACTTCTGTTATTCTGTATGAACACTAATTACACCTATGAATCAAGAAATCCTGGTGATAAGACTACAAGTACACTTTGTCGCTTAAGGCAGCAAAGAATAATAAAAGGATTAAAAGACAAAATGGATAACAAACTATTACCAAAATCTTCAAGTGCAAATAAAAGTCAAACGGATTATGGATACAAAAAGGGAAACTCAGATGGAACCTGAGTAAATCATCGGCGGTTGCCCCTCTTTGCTAAACTGTTACTCCCTGCCTGGTTCAGCAAGTGCCTGATTACTCGCTTTTTAGTCGATTCTGTAGCTTGTGTGGTAGGACTAGGGTTCCTACCAGGCCTCCAGCGCAGATTGTATGGGCAAGGAGGAGGGGGACGAGGGCTGGAGCGGGCGCGCCGGCGGACAGGCGCCGTCGCGGCTAGGGTTCCGGCTCCTCAGGGAGCCGGGCAACAGAAGATTATAATATCTTTATTGCTTGATCTCAACGGTGTCTTACAACTAGTATTTATAACTTTAGCCTAAGATAACTTGCCTAAGATAACGTGCCTAAGATAACTTGTGGGCCAAGCCCCTAATACTAATGCCCGGTGGGCCTCTTCCTAGTATAGACCAAGCCGGTCATAACATCTCTCCCCGCCTGCGCAAACAGCTTGTCCTCGAGCTGAAAGTCTGGATAGTGTTGGCGAAAATCCTCACGCTGCTCCCAAGTAGCCTCCTCCTCCGGAAGGCCCGCCCACTGAACGAGGACGAACCAGATGCCACGACGGAGCTGTGCCTGCAACACCTTTGCCGGCTCTGGAAGAATGCGACCATCGGCGGTTGGCGGAAGCGCCGGAGGAGCCGCCGGTGGCTCGCCACGAAAAGGCTTGAGCAGCCCCACATGGAAGACGTCCTGGATGCGAGCGCGGGCTGGAAGCTGAAGACGATAGGCCACCTTCCCAATGCGCTCCAAGATAGGGAAGGGCCTGGCGTAGCGAGGCCCGAGCTTGCGCTTGGCGCGCGGGTCAAGCGACTGCGTAGAGCGGTGGAGAAGACGCAGCCACACACAATCACCCACCGCGAACTCCGCCTCGCGGTGATGATCGTCGTAGTAATGCTTGGCCAGCTGCTGGGCCTGAAGGAGACGCTGACGGACCTCAGCAAGCATCTCGTCGCGGGTGCGGATAAGGTCACCCGCAACCGCTGTCCGAGCCGTCGCCGGGTCCACCGGTAGTATAGGCGGGGGTGGTCGACCATAGACCACCTCAAACGGCGTAGCGCGCAGGGCGGAGTGATAGGAGGTGTTGTAGCAGTACTCCGCCCAAGAGAGCCAGTCCACCCAAGCGCGAGGCCGATCACCTGTCACACAACGCAAATACATGGCAATGACCTTGTTAACCACCTCGGACCGACTGTCTGTCTGAGGATGGAACGCTGTACTCGGGCGGAGCTGGACACCCGCCATCCTGAAGAGGTCGCGCCAGACATGGCCCGTGAACACTGGGTCCCGATCACTGACGATCGAAGTAGGGAACCCGTGTAGACGGGCAATGCCGTTGAAGAAGGCCCGGGCCACGGACGCCGCCGTGTACGGATGGCCGAGCGCGATGAAGTGGGCGTAGTTGGAGAAGCGGTCGACCACCGTGAGGATGACCGACTTGCCGCCCACCTTGGGGAGGCCCTTGATGAAGTCCATGGAGATATCCGCCCAGACCTGAGACGGCACCTCCAAGGGTTGAAGTAACCCAGCCGGCCGCAGGGTCTCCGTCTTGTTGCGCTGGCATGTCTGACAAGACCGAACCCAGTCGCGGACCAGGGCGCGATCGCCAGGGATGTAGAAGTCGGCGCGAAGACAATGGAGGGTTTTCTGCACACCCTCATGACCTGCCGAGTGGGCGAGCTGTAACACCTGGTGACGGAGATCATCATGCGCCGGAACAAAGATCCTACGCCATGGAGAAGCAGTCCGTCAGAGAAGCGCCACGGTACAGCGCGATGTCGGAGTCGATGACGGGACAACGCGTCGGCCACGGTGTTAAGGCGGCCCGGCCGATACTCGACGGAGAAGTCGAAGCCGAAGAGCTTGCTGATCCACTGGTGCTGTGGCACGGTCGACAGCCGTTGGTCTAGCAAGAACTTCAGGTTGTAGTGGTCCGTGCGAATGTGGAAGGACCGTCCCCACAAGTACGGCCGCCAATGACGAACGGCCTGCACAAGGCTAATGAGCTCCCGCTCGTATGCCGCCAGCTTGAGATGGCGAGGAGCGAAAGGCCGGCTGAAGAAGGCGAGGGGTCCATCGCCCTGATGAAGCATGGCGCCGAAACCAGCGCCCGAGGCGTCACGGTCTACCACGAACGGGCGGTCGAAGTCGGGCATCTGGAGGACGGGGCCCGTCGTGAGGGCCCCCTTGAGGGCCTCGAACGCCGTCGTCGTCCCAAGCGAAAGCGTCGCGGCGAAGCAACCGCATGAGGGGCGCCGCGATGAGCCCGAACTCCCGGATAAATTTCCGGTAGTAGCCGGTGAGGCCGAGGAACCCGCAGAGAGCCCGCGGCGAGCGAGGTGTCGGCCATGCGGAGACGGCCGCCACCTTGTCGGCGTCCATAGCCACCCCGTCGGCAGAGATGACATGGCCGAGGTAGGCGACGGTAGGTGTCCCGAACGAGCACTTCGAGCGCTTAAGGTGGAGGTGGTGCGCCCGAAGCTCGTTGAAGATGATGGCGACGTGCTGGAGGTGCTCAGCCCAGGTGGCGCTGTAGATAAGAATGTCATCAAAGAAAACAAGCACAAACCGCCGTAAGTAGGGCCGGAGGACGTCGTTCATCAGGGCCTGGAAAGTCGCTGGGGCGTTGGCGAGGCCGAAGGGCATCACCAAGAACTCGAAGTGGCCATGGTGGGTGCGAAATGCCGTCTTGGCGATGTCGTCTGGATGCATACGCACCTGATGATAGCCTGACCGGAGATCGAGCTTGGTGAAGAAGCGCGCCCCATGGAGCTCATCCAAGAGCTCGTCGACCACCGGTATAGGGAACTTGTCCTTGAGCGTGAGCGCGTTCAGGGCGCGGTAGTCGATGCAGAAACGCCAAGTGCCGTCCGACTTGCGGACGAGCAACACCGGGGCGGTGAAGGGTGACGTGGAGATCCGGATGATGCCCGCGGCGAGCATCAGGGCACACTAGCGCTCCAACTCATCCTTTTGCAGCTGAGGGTAGCGGTAGGGCCGAACCGCCACAGGAGGGGTACCTGGCATGAGGTGGATATGATGGCCGTACACCCGGGCGGGCGGAAGACCCCGTGGCTCGTCGAAGAGGTCGCTGTGTTGCTGCAGAAGGGAATCCAGCAGGGGTTGCTCGGCCTCCGAGGACACGGCGACCAGCTGGAGATGGGGCACGGCTGGCGTAGTGCCCCCAAGGCCGTCCCATCGGACGCGGCGGCCCAGCCGCCAGAACGTCATCGTGAGCGCGTCGAAGTCCCATAGGATGGGACCGAGGGTCCGTAGAAAATCCACCCTGAGGATGAAGTCGAAGCAGCCGAGGTTGATCCCTGCACATGTAATGGAGAAGTGTTCGCCACCAATGGAGATGGGAACGTCACGGACGAGCCCATGACACCGGAGGCGATCGCCGTTCGCCACCGTGATCCGCAGGCGCTCCCCGCCCGTCGTCGGAAGGGCTAGCCGACGCATGGTCGCCTCGGGCAAGAAGTTATGGGTGGAGCCAGTATCCAGCAAGGCCACCAGCCGCTCGCCATGGATCGTCACCGGCAGCAGCATGGTCTGCCCGCCACGGATGCCGGCGAGGGCGTGGAGGGAGACGACGCACGCTGTCGCCGTGGGATCCGCGGGCGTGTCCGCGGCCGCCTCAAGTGGTGGTGTCGCGTCGGTCGAGTCGTCCGCCTCGGTGTAGTCGACCGTCTCCAAGTAAAAGAGGCGGGGGCAGACATGGGTCGGCGTGTAGGGCTCATCGCAGTTGAAGCAGAGTCCCTGACGGCGACGCTCCTGCTGCTCGGCCGGTGACAACCGGCGGAAAGTCCGTGTGGTGGCCGGGGGCGTGGTTGTCGCGGCTGGAGGAGGCCGGCCCGGTGCTGGAGGAGTCGGCGCTGGTTGACTGGGCTGGCGGCCGCCCCGTCCGGGCTGTTGCTGCAGTGCCTGGGCCCGCTGCTCGAAAGCTCGGGTGTAGTACATGGCCGTCTGGAGGTCGGGGGGATCCCGGAGCTCGACGTCCACGCGAAGATGGTCCGGCAGACCGCCCACAAATAACTCGGCACGCTGAATCCCGGAGACGCTCGGTGCGTGGCACGCCAGGGCCTGGAAGCAGTCGGCGTAGTCCTGAACCGTGGAGGTGAACTGTAAATGGCCGAGGTGCCGCCAGGCGGCTCCCGCGGATAGGAGGCCCGAACCGGAGAAGACAGAGCTCCCGGAAGCGCTCCCACGGTGGCATGCCGCCCTCGTCCTGCTCGAGGGCGTAGTACCAGGTCTGCGCCGCGCCGCGGAGATGATAGGACGCGAGCCAGGTACGATCCAAAGCGAGCGTCCGCTGCCCGCGAAAGAACTGCTCGCACTGGTTGAGCCAGTTAAGAGGGTCCTCCGTGCCCTCGTAGGTGGCGAAGTCCAGTTTGGCGAAGCGAGGGGGTGTCGGACCGCCGTGCCCGGGGGTGGCTGCAGTCGGCGGTAGCGAGTGTGCCGGGTCGGGGATCTCCGGGGCGTAGGTCGCCGAGCCGGAGGGACGGTCAAACCGGAGGGAGGGCGTCGGGTGCTCCGGCGCCGTGGTATACACCGGGGCTGGCGACGAGCCGGCCGCCCACGCGGGAATTGGCGATGGCGATGGCGATGGCGGAAACTGCACCTGGTGCAGGGGCCGACCTGTGGGCCTGGGCACGGGTGGTGATGTAGTCGACGGTGGCGGCGCCTGGAGGAGCTGCGGCGCCGCAGCCAGCGTCGAAGTAGCCGGCGGGGGCGCCTGGAGAAGCTGCTGGGAGGGGTCCCCCAGCGGTGCGGTGGCGGTCGGCCACACGGGCCAAGGGTTCCCCGTGGTCGGGTAGTGCTGCAGCAGCAGCGGCGGCAGGGGCGGCCCTCCGTAGGACGACTGGAAGGCCGGGGCGGCCCACGGAAGCGGTGGCGGCGCTCGGCTGCGGGGGCTGGTTCCCGGCGAGGTAGAGGCTGATGCCTTTGACCGCCTGGACGAGCTCCCGAAGGGTGCCCGAGACCTCCTCGGGCGAGAGGATGGGGGGCGGCTCTGCCGCGGTGGCGGTCGGCGCTGTCGGGGTGGCCGTCCCGGATGTGAGCGCCGGCATGGACGCGGACGGGGCTGGCGGCAGCGTAGGTGAGGCGGTGGTGTTTGGCAGCGGCGGCGGTGATGGAGGAAGCGACATGATCGAGCTGGTGTCTCTGAATACCAAATGGTAGGACTAGGGTTCCTACCAGGCCTCCGGCGCAGATTGTATGGGCAAGGAGGAGGGGGACGAGGGCTGGAGCGGGCGCGCCGGCGGACAGGCGCCGTCGCGGCTAGGGTTAGAGGCGGCGGCGGCTAGGGTTCCGGCTCCTTAGGGAGCCGGGCAACAGAAGATTATAATATCTTTATTGCTTGATCTCAACGGTGTCTTACAACTAGTATTTATAACTTTAGCCTAAGATAACTTGCCTAAGATAACTTGTGGGCCAAGCCCCTAATACTAATGCCCGGTGGGCCTCTTCCTAGTATAGACCAAGCCGGTCATAACATTGTGCGTGCCTGGTCTTGAATGTTCACTTCTGCTATTGAATTCATCTCTTCCTGCCATTTCAGTTCAGTGTAAATGTGTTATGATTATTAATAAGCTTTGACATTTTTGTGAGAAATATGTTAATGTTCTGTTGTTGGGCACTTGGGCTATAGGCAACTGGCATATTCTCTTATCGTAACACTCCTATAAATATATTAAGTCACCACAAGGCATACGTTGCATATAGTTGTTATATAACCTAATACTTTTATGTTTTCATGCAGCAACAAAAATTAATTGAGGAGATAAAAGAATATAAGGTACATGCATAACTTCTCCGCTTTGGTAATGCTATTTAAAGTACGATCAATAGTTTCATTGTGTTACCATGCATACTATTTAAACTGAAAATCTAGTACGGCGATTGTTCTTAGTATTGCTGTGCAGATAAAAGCTTAACTCTCAGTTTATTCATCTTAACAAAGCCCTCCTATGTATGTTTCCTTATTATAGTATATACTAAATTGCTAGTTTCTGACTGACCTCTCATGTGTCAGGAAATAAACCTTTTTGTTTAGTAGAGCCTCGTATTTGTTCACTTATGTTTTTATATGTCTTGCAGAGGCAGATTTTGCATCAGCAACGTCTAATAAATGAATCAAGCTCAAAGCGACAGGTAACATTACTCAAAAAAATAATTTTATTATCATTTATACAGTAGAGGATGCTAACGTTCTTTACAAACAATTATGAAGAAAATGGCTGAACAATCATCAGATGGAGCAATGATTGCAGAGTCACTTCCCTTACATAGAGCACATGGTGGCAGTAGCGATCTTTGCAAGTTTGTTCTCCAGGTTTATTTTATTTCGAGTGTTGCTTGATTGCCTCTTTCTGTTGTACATTAAACTTTATGGAGCAATCTTGAGAGTTATTTTCTAGTGACATTTGGTTGTGCTTTATAAAGGATCATGCAATATGATTAAATCTACCATTTGCATGCCTTTGTAACTTGTTTGTCATGCCAAGTTTGGGCCCGAAAGGGTCATATAATCTTTTGATCCAATTTGTTTTTCTGTTCCTGACTTCGTTCTCACATAAAAAACATAACCACTCATTCGCGTAAGGCACCATGTTCTGAAGTTGCTTACTATATGTTGTAGAATGAGTTTGTCCTGGATGGAGCTCGAGTCATGGGCATAGATGCATCCAGCCAGATTATAGTAGCTTCTGGAAGGGCTCCTGGAGTTAGTGCTGAACATGTCCTTACCAAGGTACAGATTACAAACTACTCCCTCCGTCCCTAAATACTCCCTCCATTCCTAAATATTTGTCTTTCTAGACATTTCAAATGACTACTACCTACGGATGTATGTAGACATATTTTAGAGTGTAGATTCACTCATTTTGCTTCGTATGTAGTCACTTGTTGAAATGCCTAGAAAGACAAGTATTTAGGAACGGAGGGAGTATAAGCCTTTTTAGAGATTCCTCTATGGACTACATACGGAGTAAAATGAGTGAATCTACAGTCTAAAATAGTCTATATACATCCGTATGTAGTCCGTATTGAAATCTCTAAAAAGACTTATATTTAGGAATGGAGGGAGTAGATGTGTTGCTTAATGATTGAAGACTGAGTTATGCTTCTTGGTTCACATTTTGGTTGTTTATTCGTAGTCACCTTATGTATCTGCACTCATAATTTCGACAGATCTGCATGTTCTCTAGACAGGAAACGAAAGTACGCCTTCCGCCTAACACTAAAGCTGTCAGGGATATTTGTATAACTCCTGGGGGCCTTGCTATTTTTGCATCTCTTGGCAGGAAATTGTCACTTCTCAGGTCTGCCTGCAACATATGTCAGTTCAATCTCTCACTGTTTTATTTTAACATATTTTAACTAACTTTTACTTTTGTGCGATATGCATATCACAGCATGACAACCAACAATGTTGTCCTTCATTATGATCTACCGGTGATTCTTTGAACTTGAAGTTCACAAATTTTGCAAGTACATTTATGTTCTCCATACATTGACTAAAACAATGCTCCCCAACATTTTGTTCACCTGATTCCATTTGCGATTAACTTCATTATAAGTATATATATTTTTTAAATTACACTCCCTCCGTCCGAAAAAGCTTGTCCTGAGGGAGTAGATGGTGTGTTTGCTTGAGGGTGTGGGTTTCCAGAAGGCTTTCCGTTTATTTTTGGTTCTTATAGCTCTTTATGTCGTGTATGTTAAAATGCAGCAGGTGTTCACTACAACATACGTACTGAATATATGCTTTCCAGTTAGAACTTTGTTTTGTGAACTACTTGAATGGTCTATCCTGGCCTGCTAATTTTTGTATTTTAATACAATGCAGGCTCCAGGCTGGTCCTGTTCAGGGGATCAAACTGGCCCCAACCACGTATATGCTGGATTACAGGTGGCTACTCAAAATCTCTTATGATTCCTTCTGAACCTTTTGTGCTATTTGAAAGGGTGACAAGAAACTTCTGTTGAATTTTACAGAACGGCATGCTTTTGGTCTTTGATACCCGCCAAACTAAAGGACCACTGCACTCCTTGAGTGGTCTATCTACAAACCCAGTTCATACAATCCACTCTGTCGTAGATGATAACGGTTCCACGAATATCATCTCTGCTTCTTCCATAGGACCCTGCATTTGGGATGTAGATGGCAATGAAAACAGGTACTTTGCAGTTCTTAAAAGCTCTTACTGATTCTGCCGGTGCCTATGGTATGTGCAAATGTACATATTAAACGTTGGTCATTTTTCCAGGCCAAATTTGCTTACCGGGATGGAAAACCAAGGGGTCTGCATATCCCTTGCATGTGCCGCTCCATCAAGTGATCTGATTGTGGCTTCCTTCCGTCCAAGGGTCGAGTTTTCAGGCGACGGCAGTGCATCTCAAATGGGTATATCACAATCACCAACGCTCTCCGGTTCTGGAAAGCTCGGGTGCCACGCTCTCCTGAGGAGGACGAGCAGCACATCCTTCGTGAAAGAGCAGATCTGCAATGGCAACGTGAGTGAGCTGCGGATGTCGAAGTCTGCAATCATACCCTGCAGCGGAACCGGCCAACACCTCTTTGCCTATGGCGATGAGTCACTGCGCGGAGTCCGCACATGGCGGCTGCCTTCGTTTCAGCTGTTCGCTGATCTCAGGCCGCACCACCAACCGATCCTCGACCTGAGGTTTGCGGAGAGCACCACCGGGGAGAAGTACCTTGGGTGCTTGAGCGAGGAGAAGCTGCAGGTCTTCAGAATTAGGTCGTAGCAGACGAGACCCAGTCACTGATCACTGATCCTTCATTCGTTTTAACGCTTCACTAGTTTTGTTGTACTGGCATGAACAGGTCTTCCTCTGTACAGTATTCTCTAGACCACACATCTTAGCGCACAAATCAACGTTTTTAGGAGATGAAACATTGACATGTATGATTTGCTAGTCTTGTGATAAATGAGAGATTCAAATGGGATGATGCCTTGTATGCATATTACGCTGACATTTTTCCAACTTCTTTTCATCATAATCAATACTACCAATTACTACACT